CGGAGATGGTGGAGCGGAGGGGCCCGGGGAGGCCCCGCACCAACGGGGTAAGCAGGCACCCTCCCCGCACTCGCTCGGCGCGCCCCGAGGGGCCTTGCGGCCGGGCGCCCCTGCCGACCCCGCTCCGAGAGCACGTGGGCGCCCCCGCGGCCCTGGGGCGGGGGTGCGGGCGGGGCGCCCGGCCGGGCAGCTTCCTTTTCTGCTGCCTGCCTGGGAGTGTCGTCCACACCCGCTCCGCCATGACCCTGGCAGTGTTTGACCTCGTAAAAGTTTGTGTCTTTATGGCATTTCCAGGCCCCGAGACCCAGCCACCCCGGTGGTGGCCGCCTTCCCAGAGTGTGCGGGGCCTGCCCGGGGCCCTTGCGGAGGTCACGGGGTCTCGCTGACTTGGTGTTGAATGGCTCACCAGGCAGAAAGGCTCAGCAGGGTTTCTGGGAAGGCCCTCCTCCTCTCTCTGCTTACTCAGAGGAGAGGCCGCACACCCAGAGACACCAGCAGTGACCTGTCCGCCCCACCGGTCTGCCCACCGCAGTCGAGTAACCGCCCTAAATGCGCCGGCTCTAGGCGTTTCTTCCTTTAGCTCTGCACCCCCCAGTTAGCCCGAGAGAACTACCCCAACCGCAGCCCAGTTCCGCAGTCCTTGGAGGCTGCTGGGCTGCATGATTTGAGAGGGGCCAGGCTTGGGCACACAGAAGGCTCAGGCAGTAATGGCAAGTCCTGCCAGCTGACCTCAGGACTGAGAAGTGGTTGATCAGGTTCCCTGAGGCCCGCTTCTGTGCCAGAGTCCCTGCAGCTCCTGCCAGGGCAGTTGGCTCCTGCACTAGGCCAGCCCTTCCAATCCCGGCCTTGTTTGCCCTGGTCCTTCTGACCTCCTTGGTACGGGTAGGTTGCCTCCTTCTTATATAGACCTTTGTGGACGGCTGGTTCTGCTGGCCAGATGTCCCCCCTTAGCGAATGGAATTAGAGACGGACTTGGACCTGGGGGAATCTGAACCTTCCACTGCTCTGCTGGGGCTGGAAAACTGGGGCTAGCCCAGTTTTTGAGAGATGTTGTCTATTTTTTGTCTTTTGTATTCTGATTGCCCCCTTGGCTGCCTAAATCTTGTGGGATCATCTTCTTCAAGCCTCTTTCAGAACATGCATTTGTCGTTTTAGGAGAATGTATTTACCGGGCAATCAAAGATCTATACCTACATGAGCCCGAACAAATGCTCTGGAATGCGTTCCCCCCTTCAGGAAGAGAACTCAGTTGCACATCACGAAGTCAAATGCCAGGGGAAGCCGTTAGCCGGAATCTACAGGAAACGCGACGGTAAGCCTCTGAAATGGCCCTGTTCTGACCACAGCTGGCCGGCTCACATCCTGCAGAATAATGTAAATGTGCTAAATTTTTATCCAGCCTTTTCAAGCCAAAGTTCAAAAGGTTTGAACCATGTTTGGTCTTGCTGCTGGGAAACATAGACAAGGGGGAAAGAGCTGCCTGTTCCAGGGCGTGTGCCCTATTGGTCTGACAGGTTCTCCCTGCTTTCACAAGAGTTAGTGTGTCCTTCAGGCTTGATTATCTTGCCGAGTTGCAAAAATACGGCACCTGGCCTGTTGTTAGAGAGGCTCACAGGTGCTAAAAGTACAGACATTATGAGTCTAGGTTGTCCGGAACAGGCACTTGCACTCCCGCTGAGTCCTGTGAACCTAAGGAACTGATTTCCTTCCCTTTTATGAGCTGGCCTTGACCTCAGTTCTAAAGTTTCTTTCTACTCAAGTGTTCAGTGCTAGTCTCTGAAGCATCACACTCTGGAATGAGATTTGGGGTTAAAATATTGAGCAAGAAAATTAACAGCTATTGAAAATTCTGTCTGGCCCTGCAAAACACGCTGAGACCTCTTACACATCTTGCTCTTAACCCAAATATTCCCTTTTAAAGCTGAGGTCGGGGCGGGGGCGGGCGCCGGTGCGTGTGAGCTTTCCCCAATTCACCGTGCCCCCTTCTGATTAAACCTTGCCTTAGAGAAGCAGAACTCTGGCTATCAGCAGCTCCGTACAGGGAAGCTTTGTATTCGTTAACAGGAAGTGCCGTAAGGGATGGGGGGGTAGCCCAACCTCTGGGCCAGATCTGAGACCCAGGGGCAGGAGCCAGCCCTCTGCCTGATTCCCCCTGGTACATAGGGTGATGTTACTTCATATGACTTAAGGTTCCAATCCTAGCTCTGCCATTTATGAAAGGAAGGGACGTGGGCAGTTTGCTACTCTTTTCTGAGCCTCCATTCTCTCTGTACAGTGGCAGAGAAAGGAGTCCTACAGGACCATTCTGAAGATCAGTTAAAGAGCAGGTGCAGATGGGCTTTGTGAGGGAATTCCCTGGTGGCCCAGTAGTTAGGACTCGGCTCTTTCACTGCCCTGGACCCCGGGTTCAGTCCCCGTTCGGGGGAATTAAGATCTCAAAAGCCATGCAGTGCGGCCAAAAAGAGGAGTGGGGGGCGGCTTTGTGAGCGCTCGAGCATCACGGCCTGCCCCTCCCCGCAACTCAGCGTAGGCAGCACTCAGAACAGCAGTCACCACACTGGGTTGGGGAAGGGGCTCTTTTGAGATGGCGCTCAGCCAGTCTCACATCCCTTCTGGAACGGAGCAGGATGTAGATTGTCCTAAATGGGGACACGGGGCACAAGCTAGCTGGTTTGACTCGTAGTGTTACTACATGGTGACAGTCAGAATTGGGGGCTGAAGGAACATTGGAGGAGACCCCAAGGTCCAGGTTCTTGTCCATGATTCTAGACCTTTTTCCTGCCTTGATGCAGACTCAACATGACCGCTGATGTTCACGAGCACCACCCACTTCTAGGGTCACGCCCGATGCCTTACCTCCACCCAGGAGGGCGTACAAGGAGCAAGAATGGTCTGGATGGGTGCTGATGTATTTATTTTTCTCTTTTGTTTATTGAGATATAATTCTGATATCCTGAAGTTCACCATTTTAAAGGGTACAATTCAGTGGTTTTTAGCATATTCACAGATATGTGCAACTATCACCTCTGTTAAACTCCAGTACATTTTCATCACCCCAAAAAGAAACCCTGTACCTATTCACAGTCGCTCCCCATTCCTCCCTTCCCCCAGCCCCAGGCAGCCACTAATTTATTTCCCATCTCTATCTATGGATTTGCCTATTCCGGACATTTCATATAAATGGAATCATCTAATATGTGGCCTTTTGTGTCTGGCCTCATTTACTCATAATGTTTTCAGGGTTCATCCATGTTGTAGCCTATGTCAGTGCTTCGTTCCTTTCTGTGGCTGAATAATATTCCATCCTGCAGATGTACCACATTTTCTTTACCCATTCATCATTTGATGGACGTTCAGGTTGTTTCCATTTTTTGACTATTATTAATAAGCTGCTGCAGACGTTCATATACAGGTTTTTGTGTAGACATCTGCTTTTAATTCTCTTGATAGATTCCTAGAACTAGAATTGCTGGGTCATATGGTAACTCTATGTTTAACATTTTGGAGAACTGCCAAATTCTTTTCCAAAGTGACTGCACCATCTTACATTCCCACCAGCAATGTATTATTTAATTATCTGTTAAAAGTAAAATCTTTTTTGGAAAAAAAAAAAATCCAACACTGGTGCTCCACAACTATTTTTAGTAACAAGTCATTGGCGACATCCCTCACAACACACTGACTGGTGTTGGGGCACCGTGCTGGGAACCACTGTGAACACTGGGCTTCGACCCTGTTAGAACAGGGAATTAAAAAAAAAAAAGAAAGAAAGAAAACGAGTCTGAAATGAATCACGCCAGGCAGCTAGCTCTTGGGGAAGAGGTCTTTGCTGGGGAGAGGTTCTGCTTTATTGCCTTACTCCTGTCCACCAACACTGGCCCACCCTTTAGGAATTTAGCTTTTTTCCCTGGGGTCTGCAGCCCATTTCCTGAAAAGCCATTGGTCGAGCCCTCACGCCAGTGTTGCTG